GGGCACCTGACACACATGGGAGGCACCTGAGGACACACCTGGAACACACACACATGGGGAGGAGGGCACCTGACACACACACACATGGGGAGGAGGGCACCTGACACACACACACATGGGGAGGGCACCTGACACACACACACATGGGGAGGGCACCTGACACACACACACATGGGGAGGGCACCTGACACACACACACATGGGGAGGGCATCTGACTCTTGTTTGTGCCCAGGCCGCCATCGAGGCCCAGACTCTGCTCCAGAAACATGGATCTGAACCAGGACCAGGACCAGGACTAACTGTGGACCTCGTGAAGACCGACTCCCTGTCTGTAAGAATCAGGACTAGACCAGGACTAAACTTGGTCTAAACCCGGTCTAAACCCGGTCTAACCCCAGTCTGGTCGTAGATCCTGGTCAAGTCCGTGAATCAGTTCTGTTCGTCTCATCCTGGTTCGTCTGTGATGCTTTTGGCCCAAGTGCATCCTGGGAAAGTCCTGTGCGCCTGCCAAGTGCCCAAGGTAAGACCTGGACCTGGACCTGGTCTGGACTCGGTCTGGACTCGGTCTGGACTCGGTCTGGACTCGGTCTGGACCTGGTCTGGACTCGGTCTGGACTCGGTCTGGACCCTATCTGGACCCTGGTCTGGACTGGTCTGGACTCGGTCTGGACTCGGACTCGGTCTGGACCTGGTCTGGACTCGGTCTGGACCCTATCTGGACCTGGTCTGGACCCTGTCTGGACCTGGTCTGGACCTGGTCTGGACTCTGTCTGGACTCGGTCTGAAATCAGTCTGGACCGGGTCTGGACCTGGACTGGACCTGGACTGGACCCAGTCTGCACTCGGTCTGGACCCGGTCTGGACCTGGTCTGAACTCGGTCTGGACCCGGTCTGGACTCGGTCTGGACTCGTTCTGGACTCGTTCTGGACCTGGTCTGGACCTGGTCTGGACTCGGTCTGGACTCGGTCTGGACCTGGACCCAATCTGGACTCGGTCTGGACTGGGTCTGGACTCGGTCTGAACCTGGGTCTGGACTTGGGTCTGGACTGGGTCTGGACCTGGACCCAATCTGGACTCGGTCTGGACTGGGTCTGGACTCGGTCTGAACCTGGGTCTGGACTTGGGTCTGGACTGGGTCTGGACCGGACCTGGACTGGGTCTGGACCTGCTCTCCTGTGATTGGTCTGTTTTCAGGGCGTGGCGTCTTTCTCGGCCTCTGATTGGGCGCGGGCCGTGTGTGGGCGTTTCCATGGTAACGCGGGCGGCTCCGACCTCGTGGCAAAGGGGACGGCTCAGGCCGATGACATCACGGCGGTGCTGGAGTGGGCGGAGCTTTATGCCAAAGGGAAAACTTGAAAACACTGACCGTCGGCCAATCGCGATTCTCCGTTTTAGAAGAAACGCCTCCGTCCTGAACGAGCGACTGATTGGCTGAGGGCGCCGCCAATCATCCGCTCTGTTTGTGTGTCAATAAATGAGATTTTTATCAAATTTATTTGTCCTTTTTTTAAAACACGAGACGCACCCGACACACACACGAGATGCACCCTACACACACACAAGACACACCCGACACACACGAGATGCACCCTACACACACACGAGACACACCCGACACACACGAGATGCACCCTACACACACACACACAAGACACACCCGACACACACACGAGACGCACCCGACACACACACGAGACGCACCCGACACACACACGAGACGCACCCTACACACACGAGACGCACCCGACACACACACGAGACGCACCCGACACACACACACGAACGCACCCGACACACACACGAGACCCGACACACACACGAGAGACCCTGACACACACACGAGAGACCCTGACACACACACGAGAGACCCTGACACACACACGAGAGACCCTGACACACACACACGAGACGCACCCGACACACACACGAGACGCACCCGACACACACACGAGACGCACCTGACACACACACGAGACGCACCCGACACACACGAGACGCACCCGACACACACACACGAGACGCACCCGACACACACGAGATGCACCCTACACACACACAAGACACACCCGACACACACGAGATGCACCCTACACACACACAAGACACACCCGACACACACGAGATGCACCCTACACACACACGAGACACACCCGACACACACGAGATGCACCCTACACACACACACAGACACACCCGACACACACGAGACGCACCCGACACACACACGAGACGCACCCGACACACACACGAGACGCACCGACACACACACGACGCACCTACACAACACGACACCGACACACACACGAGACGCACCCGACACACACACACGAGACGCACCCGACACACACACGAGACGCACCCGACACACACGAGAGACCCTGACACACACACGAGAGACCTGACACACACACGAGAGACCCTGACACACACACGAAGAGACCCTGACACACACACGAGACGCACCCGACACACACCGACGACACACACACGAGACGCACCCGACACACACACGAGACGCACCTGACACACACACGAGACGCACCGACACACACGAGACGCACCCGACACACACACGAGACGCACCCGACACACACACGAGACGCACCCTACACACACACGAGATGCACACGACACACACACGAGACGCACCCGACACACACACGAGACGCACCCGACACACACGAGACGCACCCGACACACACGAGAGACCCTGACACACACACGAGAGACACAGACACGAGACGCACCCGACACACACACGACACACACACGAGACGCACCGACACACACACGAGACGCACCCGACACACATACGAGACGCACCTGACACACACACGAGACGCACCCGACACACACACGAGACACACCCCACACACGAGACGCACCCGACACACACGAGACGCACCCGACACACACGAGAGACCCTGACACACACACGAGAGACCCTGACACACACACGAGACGCACCCGACACACACGAGACCCTGACACACACACGAGAGACCCTGACACACACACGAGACCCTGACACACACACGAGACAGACCCGACACACACGAGCCCCTGACACACACGAGACGCACCTGACACACACGAGACGCCCCTGACACACACACAAGAGCCCCTGACACACACACGAGAGCCCCTGACACACACACGAGAGTACCTGACACACAAACGGGGGCCCCAGACACACACGGGGCCCCTGACACACTTTAGATCCTTGTCATGTTCCTGTTGTTAAACTGACACAGACTCGAACAAACCTGGAGTTTGTCAAAAAATGTTTTATTCAGATTCTTTACAAAAACAAAATCTGACACACGAGGGCCCCTGACACACATGAGGGCCCCTGACACACGGGAGAGCACCTGACACATGGGAGAGCACATGACACTTGGGGAGGGCACCTGACACATGGAAGGGCACCTGACACACATCACAGAGCACATGTATGTACTGCAGTCTGGTCTAGTCCTGGTCCTGGTCCTGGTCCTGGTTTCAGTCTGATCTTCATCTCGGTCTTCTTCAGCGAGTCCTGTCGGCCGGTCTCTGGTTAGTCTTGGTTTGGTCCTGGTTTGGTCTCTGGATTAGTCCTGGTCTCTGCTCTGGTCCGGATCTCTAGTTTGGTCCAGGTCTCTAGTCTGGTCCAGGTCTCTAGTCTGGTCCTGGTCCCGGTCTAGTCCCGGTCCCGGCCTGGGTCTGATCTTCATCTCGGTCTTCTTCAGCGAGTACTGCCAGCCGGTCCAGGAGCTCCACTCGATGCCGTCGGCGTAGGAGTGGTGGGCGCCGCCGTGTGGTCGTCCCAGGTACTGCCCGTTCAGGTTGGACGTGTGGCAGTTCCGGTACCACCAGGCGCCGCGGTAAAACCCGGCGCAGTTATTCTCCGACAAGTCCTGGTCCCGGTCGGCCGTCGTGAACCGCATCCCAGAGTGCTTCAGGAGAGAGTCGCCTGGACACAACCGGGTCACACCGGGTCACACACAACCGGGTCACACACAACCGGGTCACACCGGGTCACGCCGTGTCACACACAACCGCGTCGCACCGGGTCACACACAACCGGGTCACACCGGGTCACACCAGGTCACACCGGGTCACACACAACCAGGTCACACCAGGTCACACCGGGTCACACACAACCGGGTCACACCAGGTCACACTGGGTCACACACAACCAGGTCACACCAGGTCACACCGGGTCACACACAACCGGGTCACACCAGGTCACACCGGGTCACACACAACCGCGTCACACCAGGTCACACCAGGTCACACCGGGTCACACACAAGCGGGTCACACCAGGTCACACCGGGTCACACACAACCAGGTCCCACCGGGTCACACCGGGTCCAGCCAGGACAGAGTGGGTCAGACTAACCCAAGACTAACCCAAAACTAATCCAGGACCAAACCAGGACTAACCCCGGCCCGGTCCTGGTCCAGGTGGTACTTACCGGCGGTGCCCGAGTACCCGTCCACGTGCAGCGGGTACCCGTCCTCCTCGGGGTTCACCGAGTCCAGGGCGACACTGAAGTGCGAGTACAGAGCGAACGCCGAGTCGTTCTGCCAGTCCCACAGGTCGACCCGCAGCTCGAACCCGCCAGAACCGGTCAGAACCGCCAGGCGCTCCAGACCTGCCACAACCACACTACTGTGAGTACTGCAGTACTGCAAGTACCTGCAGTACTGTGAGTATCTGGAGTACTGTGAGTACTGCAGTACTGTGAGTACTGCAGTACTGCGAGTACCTGGAGTACTGTGAGTATCTGGAGTATTGTGAGTATATGGAGGATTTGTAGTATTTGCAGTATGTGTAGTATATGTAGTACTTGTAGTGTTTGTAGTGTTTGTAGTGTTTGTAGTATTTGTAGTACTTGTACTATTTGTACCGAGCCAGTGTTCTCCAGTGGTTCGTCCGAATCCGTCTCTGTAGGCGTCCCAGCCCCGAAAGAAATCCACATCCCCGTCCTCCCGCCGCTGGAACACCTCAACACAACAACACACAACTCAACACAACAACACACAACAACAACAACACACAACTCAACACAACAACACACACAACACAACAACACACACCTCAACACAACAACACACAACTCAACACAACAACACACAACACAACAACACACAACTCAACACAACAACACACAACACAACACAACAACACACAACTCAACACAACAACACACAACAACAACACAACAACAACAACACACAACTCAACACAACAACACACAACTCAACACAACAACACACAACTCAACACAACAACACACACACAACAACACACACAACAACAACAACAACAACAACACAACACACACACACAACACACAACAACACACAACTCAACACAACAACACACAACTCAACACAACAACACACAACAACAACACAACAACTCAACACAACAACACACAACACAACACAACAACACACAACACACAACAACAACACACAACTCAACACAACAACACACAACAACAACACAACAACTCAACACAACAACACACAACAACAACAACAACACAACAACACAACAACACACAACTCAACACAACAACACACAAACAACAACAACAACACACAACTCAACACAACAACACACAACACAACAACACAACAACAACACACAACAACAACAACAACAACACACAACAACTCAACACAACACAACAACAACACAACAACACACAACACACAACAACACAAACTCAACACACAACAACACAACAACACAACAACACAACACACACACAACACAACAACACACAACTCAACACAACAACAACAACAACACAACACACACAATCAACACAACAAACACACAACACACAACACAACAACACACAACTCACACACAACAACAACACAACACAACACAACAACTCAACACAACAACTCAACACAACAAACACAACACAACACAACACACAACTCACACACAACAACACAACAACACAACAACACACAACTCAACACAACAACACAACACAACAACACAACAACACACAACTCAACACAACAACACACAACACAACACAACAACACACACCTCAACACAACAACACACAACAACACAAACACAACAACACACAACTCAACACAACAACACACAACAACACAACACAACAACTCAACAACAACAACACAACAACAACACAACAACACAACAACAACAACAACAACAAACAACAACACAACAACTCAACACAACAACACACAACTCACACAACACACAACAACACACACAACAACACAACACCTCAACACAACAACACACAAACACAACAACAACACAACAACAACACACAACTCAACACAACAACACACAACAACAACACACAACTCAACACAACAACACACACCTCAACACAACAACACACAACTCAACACACAACACAAACAACACAACTAAACACACACAACAACACACAACAACAACACACACACAACAACAACACACAACACACACAACAACACACAACACAACAACACACACAACACAACAACACAACACACACAACACAACAACAACAACACAACAACACACACAACACAACAACACAACACAACAACACACAACACACACAACAACAACAACACACAACTCAACACAACAACACACACACAACACACAACAACACAACTCAACACAACAACACACAACTCACACACAACTCAACACACAACAACAACACACAACTCAACAACACAACAACACACACCTCACACACAACAACAACACAACAACAACAACACACAACAACACAACAACACACACAACAACAACACAACTCAACACAACAACACACAACTCACACACAACACACACACAACACACAACAACACAAACAACAACAACAACAACAACAACAACAACACACAACTCAACACAACAACACAACACACACAACAACAACACACACAACACACAACTCAACACAACAACACACACACAACAACACACAACTCAACACAACAACACACAACTCAACACAACTCAACACAACAACACAACAACAACACAACAAACTCAACACAACAAACACACAACTCAACAACAACACACAACTCAACACAACAAACACACAAACTCAACAACAACACACAACAACAACACAACAACACAACACCACACACACAACAACAACACAACCTCAACAACAACAACACACAACTCAACACACAACAACACACACAACACAACACACACAACACAACAACAACAACAACAACACACACTCAACACAACAACACACACTCAACACACAACACACACCTCACACACAACAACACACAACAACACAACAACAACAACACACAACTCAACACAACAACACACACCTCAACACAACAACACACAACTCAACACAACAACACACAACACAACACAACAACAACAACACACACTCAACACAACAACACAAACAAACACACAACTCAACACAACAACACAACAACAACAACAACAACAACAACACAACACAA